CAGTCTGGGGGCGGGGCGGCCACAGCAACAGCCAAACAACACCGCCACCCCCACCCCATTTTGATCATGCCTTGGCCTCCCCATCGACCTCCGAGGACTCTTTTGCCATTGCGCTGTTGTGCTGGGTGGAGCTCTCGACGATGCTCCCTAGGTCCAGCTTTTCGCTCTAAGCGATTTCATGGCGGGCCCAGGACCCGAAGGCACCTCCTGCGCGCCGACAACCGCGAAAAGCCTCCAGTGCGGCTTTCCTCGAGCGCCAAAAAGCCCGGATCTGGAATGCCTGGTCGGCTCTTGCTGAGACCTGCCCCTCAGAGCGCGCAGGGGCACCGCTCGGCGGCGAGCGAGGGGGGAGCTGAGAAGGACGAGGCCTTCTTCTCAGAAGGCCGCGGGGCTTCTCAGAAGCCTTCCGGCCTTCCGAGACATGTTCTGCGCCTACGGGGAAGGTTTTGAAAATATCTCAGAGGGCCGGGAGGCTTCCGAGCCTTCTGAGAAGGCCCGCCCCTTCTCACTTACCCTACCCCTGGGCGCGCCGGCGAGTTCAGTTTTCGGGTCATTACTCGGGTCTCCGGCGGCCTTTCGGCACGATCTGGGCACCCCCAGACGCCTCTCGGCGAGGCGCAGCCGCTGGAATGCACCCCGCGGCTGGAAATCCGCTGAGGACCAACGACAACGCCCGAAAACCCCGAGGTTCGAACCCGAAACTCCCAAACTTTTCCCTGGGCTCGCCGCCGAACCCTCAGACCCTGGGGGGGGCCCTTCCCTGGCAGCACCGCCGCCGCCGCCGCACGAGCCTGAGCAGAGCAACAGGCCCCCCGCTGGGTGTCTGGACCTCCGACGCCGCGCCAGTCTCGGACCCAGCGGCTGCTTGTGGGAGGGCGCTGGGAGAACATCTGCACCGGTCCTGGCCGGGCCGATGGCGCTGGGTGTCTGGACCTCCAACGCCGCGCCAGTCTCGGACCCAGCGGCTGCTTGTGGGAGGGCGCTGGGAGAACGTATGCACCGGTCCTGGCCGGGCCGATGGCGCTAGCTGGCGAATCGCGCGCAGAGCGGCCAGATAGCCTGGCGCGACCGACGCGGCCGCGGCGGCGCTCACCGCTGGGAACTTCCCAGCGCGTCACACAGGCCGCGCTGACGCGCGGGCACTTCAGTGCGAGTCTGAGACTCGGGCGGGCGCGGTAGAATGGCGATATCGACAACGAAAAACACGATGATGATTGCAGCGATGCTAGTGACGACGACGACGACGACGACGATGATGACGGCAAGGCGAGCGACGGCGCCGATGCTGATCACGCTGATGACGACGATGGTGTCCACGCGTCGGTGATGAAGGTTTCGACAGAAGTTCGACATGCGCGCGCTGCCGACAGGTGTGAGTGGCCCGCATGATGTTACTTGACAGGGATCGTGCCCCCCCCCCAGCACGCGCGCAAGGGCGTTCGAATGCTTTCAACATGCGCGCGCGAGAGGCCCTCTTGGTCGCACTGAATGGAAATATTGAAAATACTTGTAAAAGAATTAACCAGAGCGCGCGCAGACCTTCTCGAAAACTGCACTCGATTGAATTCCTTACGAAACCTACGAATGTTTGAAGGATTTCGACATGCGCGCGCGACGACGCGTGCGTGTTCACTTCATCACATCTTTCGCAAGGGATTCTTGAAAATGGGCAATTCCCCAAATAGTGTTTGCACTGAGGGGCTCTTACTTGTCTTAACCATCTGGGGACAAAAGCTGGCTATTCGTCACCGTGCCACCCGTCACCGTCCGTCGCCCGCCGCTCGTCTCGGGACCAGGGGCGGCCGTCGCCGTCCGTGCCGCCCGTCGCCGCCATCGCCGCCGCCGTCGCCGCACCGTCGCCGCCGCAGTCGCCACCGTCGCCGCCGCGCACCACATAGCTTGCACCACATAGACAGATAGATAGATATATAAATAAATCTAGTAGCAGTAAGAGAAATAGTAGTAGTCGT